CCCCAAAACCCCAAAACCCCAAAACCCCAAAACCCCAAAAAGAAGAAATATTATTGAAAATGTCATTTACCAACATGAAATATGAGTCCTTTAACTTTAGAGGGGACTCTATTCAAAAGAATATGAATTTTAATCAGGCAAAGAATCGAGGAAGAATCAAAGTCTTAACTACTAATAAGCCTCCTAAAGCCCCTGGCTTACCTCAGATACATAGTAGAAATTCTTTAAGTAATGAGGAGAATATTATCAACTTCAGAACTTTTGACGTGAGTAATAATAGAACAAGAGGGATCCAAAGACCCCAAATAAACAATAGTCCTAGTAAATACACAAAATCAAGATATTTCAAGAATTCGATGCAAATGCTCAGAGCAATAGGAAATGGGCAGGTTAATATTGCTTTAAGCTATGACTTGAGAAGTCTTGACAATGAAAGTTCCGAGAATAATGGTACTCATCCAATTCTTCAAGCGACTAGGCTTTCAAGTAGCTCAAAGAAAGTTCAAGAAATGAGCTATGTTCAATTCTTCAATGACTTAAGGAAGGAAAATAAAAAGAAAAGAAGGTCATCTCTGAAAAAGTATAAAGATCAGATTCCTAAGTAAAGATGAATTAAAAGAGAATTTAATCCATAAAGAACAAAAAACAGAAATGCTTGACGGAATTATCAAAAAGTATGCCAAAAGTCCTTCTAAGCCAGTTCACACTAATAAAAAGAAAAGAGGTAAAATGGAACTATACAATAACACGAGATTAGGCAAGAAGAGAATCAATCTAGTATCTTCATAAATTTATATCTAGGGTTTATACGGTAAGATAATAAAGATGACAGAGAAAAATAAGAAACATCCAATGGAACCTAAAATCTCTGATGCATTAGAGGTTACCCATCCAAATAAAACAAATCTGAATATCTCTTCAGCAAAGCCAGAAGTGTTAGATCAGACTTTATTAGCAGAAGAAAAATTTAAAGAGCGTATAAACGGTACAATCTCCGAAGTTAAAAATATGATGCATGAGAAAATAAAATCAAACTTCCAGAACAGCAAGAAAAATATGAGCAATACCAAATCACTAAAACTGTAATATTTCTCACTTAAGCCCTAGTATCACTGAGGTAAAGAAGGAGACTCCTGATTTGAACCAAAGTGTTAGGTCAAAAAGGTCAAGGTAATTATTCTGGAATATTATCTCTCCACCAATATTATGATTCGGACTGCAATTATACACCAAATTGCATATAGGAAATCCACTAAACCCATTAGGAAGGATTTACAGGAGGACTTAAACATAAAAGTTCAAGCTTTGAAGGAAAATCCAAAAGAGAAACAGCAAAATCAGAGCCCAATGATTAAAATCGAGAGGCTCAAGACCAAAGAAAAGAGTAAATACTTATTCCTTATAAAATATAGTCTCGAAACTTGGAGATGAGATGACTCAAGGCTTAATGGAAGTTAAGAGAAAGTCAATTGCTCGTACAAATTCCAGTCTTCCGAAGAAATACAAAAAACAGATGTAGTTTTTATGCGGAAATCTTATATTTTAATTTTATTTAATTTACTCAACTATTTTTAAACTATTGGGGTTTTGGGGTTTTGGGGTTTTGGGGTTTTGGGGTG